TATATATATATATATATATATATATATATATAACTGCCCACGTTGGTAAACCACCTTATAGTCACATGCGGAAGTTGATCAGATATTATAGAGACAGAAAACAGTCATAATCGACAGCAGTACTATATATTGGTCGATATATTGGATGTGAAACAATGTTAGAGTGCTCTAATAGTTAATGCCATGCGGAAATCATGCTCTGCTAGCACTGTATGAAACTAAGTGATGTGAAGATCTGCTCTACATATAATATAAGATATATTAAATAAAAGATCTAGCTATGGCCAGACGATTACTTGGTCTGAGCAGTCCAGTATCTCAATGCGTGGTGGTATACCTCCTATAGTCATGCATGTCCTGCGTCAAGATTAACGTAAAGGGGAAAGTTAACGGTGTGACAATGATGTGTTAATAATGATACGCGACGGTGTCTATGACGTTATAATACTGTCGGTTGACCCCGCGTGCGTGCGTGCCTGCGCGCGTGTGCGTGCGTGTGAGTGTGTGCATGTGTCTGATGGCCTGCGTACCTGGCTATGATTGCAATGTAATGATGGTGCAATGATGCAATGTAACAATGACGCGTTAATGGTGACAGGCATCTACGGTTTAACATTACTGTCATTCGGGCCTATGAACGTACTTACGTGCGTACATACATGTGTGCGTACATGCGTGCATACGTGCGTGCTCGTGCCTGTGCGCGTACATGCGTCCGTGCGTGAGCGTGAGCCTACCTGCCTGCCTGCTTGTCTGCGTGTGTACCCTAACATTGACCTCCACCCCTTTCTCTCTCTCGCCACCGTGCAGGCCCGGCGTGTCACCCTGACTGTGAATTACGCTGCTGGGGACCAGAGCGCAACGATTGCCAGACACTGACGAAGACGACGTGTGCAGAGCAGTGCAGTAGAGGGCGCTGCTTCGGACCGGACCCTCACGACTGCTGCCACCAATCGTGTGCGGTGGGATGCCGAGGTCCGCTCGATACCGACTGCTTCGTAAGTACACACGCTATACGAATAATAGTAGTAGCAACAGTTATAGTGTTATTAATTATGATGATGATGATGATGATAGTAATAATAATAATATTCATAACGACGACGACGATGAAGAATAAGATGATGATGATAATGATAATGATAATGGTAATGGTAATGATGATGATGATAATAATAATAATAATAATAATAGTAATAATATTAACACAAACACCAGCAATATAATCACATTAACCAACAAAACCATTACTAGCAGCAGCAGCATCAACAACACAAACAACAAACAACTACAAAAATACATCTACACTTGCTCTCACACACACATGCACCCTAGTCACTGTTTTCTCACTCCCACGCAGGCGTGTAAGATGTTTAACAACAGCGGGACATGCGTCGACAAGTGTCCATCACTGGAGAGCTATGACCTGAGCGAGTTTCAGCTGAAGGACAACCCGGACGGAAAATACACGTTCGGTTCAACCTGCGTCAACGAATGTCCGAGTGAGTACTGTTCGAATTATCATGTATTTACCTCAATATTGCCTTGTTATTACCTTATTATTATCATGTATTTACATTTCGTCGTACGTTGAGTACTACTGATACAATTATCATTGTTGCTCATGTTCCGTTATCTTACGGCAACACCGTTCACCGATCACAGCATCAACCTTTCCTCGTAATTAACCACATATAACTATGACCACGTAGTTAGCGTGTATGTACATACCACGTAGATAACTCAGTAATACTAATATTGTTAAATTAACGTGTCTCCTCGACTGCCCAACCAATACCAAAGCAAACCATACCAAACCAATACCAAACCAATACCAATACCAAACCAATACCAACGCAAACCATACCATACCAAACCAATACCAAACCAAACTAATACCAAACCAATACCAAAGCAAACTAATACCAAACCAATACCATACCAAACCATAGCATACCAAACCATATCATACCAGACCAATACCTCACGATTACCATGTAGATAGTTTGTGATGACATGCCTGCCACCCCCACCGACATGGTAACTGGTTGACGCACTCTCACCACGTGTCGTCTTTAACACTCACGCCCTCACACAGGTCACCTGCTGAAACAGAAGAGCCACGGCGCATGCGTAAGGCAGTGCTCGGAGGGATATCGCGCAGACGACAACAACTTCTGCGTCGCCTGCGTGGGACCGTGTCCTAAAGGTGAGAGCTGCTCTATTGTTATGTGTGGGGAGAGAGAGGGAGAGAGAGAGAGACATGAAGAGAAAGAGAGCTGTTCTTTTGCTATGTGTAGGTGAGAGAGAGCGACACAGCGAGAGAGAAAGATAGGAAGACAGAGAGAGAGCTAGAGAAAGGAAGAGAGAGAGAGAGAGATAGAGAGAGAGAGAGAAAAAGAGAGAGGGGGAGAGAGAGCGCCCGATAGAGAGAAAGAGATTAAGAGAACGCATTTTGTGAGCAGTGACGGAGTTAAGTGAAGAGCAAAAGGGAAAAAATAGAAGAGACGATCGCAGAGAAAGGATTGTTGTCCGTATTTCTTCTAACATTTGTTTACCTCGTTGTCTGATGGCTACTGTGTTTGATCTCGCCCGGTTTACATTGGGCTATCTCTCGCCTTTTATTTGTAAAGACTTTGGCGGTAGCAATACATTTTATCTCTTTGTCTATCGGTTTGTGTGTGTGTCTATCTTTCTTACTCTATGTGTGCTACTGTGTTTTATCTCTCGTGGGTGTAATTGCTATGATGTACTATGGCTACGTTACTATGGTTACGTACGTAACTATGGTTACATACGTTACCATCTTTTCGGTCAACGGTTATTTCTCATTCATCACGTCTTGCTGTCTAGTATCTAAAATTCCATAATCTTTCTATTTTTCGCGCTGCCGCCGCCAGATCATTCGTGGGGCGTGATTAAAGGTACAACTTTCGCCTCTATCGTTTGGCCGCTACTAGCTGTAATATATATATATATATATATATTATATACATAACCACACGCTGAGTATTTCTCATTCTCTATCTTCAATATATCATAGGAAACATTATTTTATACAAAATGGAATATAATATTAATACAAATGGTTATTCTGTAACAACGATCAATAACGATGTTATATGACACAGTAACATTTCGTTTACATCCACTACGCAGCAGTTCCACCGGTTGCGCGTTCGTTGGCATTCCTTTTCCCCTTGACTTTGGATTGAAATGAGAAATAATCAGTGCCGATGTTTGCCGTGGCAACTGTGCCGCCTCTAACGCTATATGACTGTTTCTCTCTCACTGCCGTGTCTTTTGCTCGGCTTTTGCTCGGCTTTTGCTCGGCTTTTGCTCGGCATTTGCACGTTGATGAAGTGAATGAAGCGTTGGTTTGTGAAAGTGAAAGTTGAATGTACGTCACGCTACGAAGCTGCGAGTAGAGATCGCATCAGAACGAGGCCGCTGGTCACATGATTAACGGATTAGAATTATGATTAAGATTAGGATTATAATTAGTAAGGAACGAGACAAAACGAGACAAATCAACTACATCTCTCTCTCTAACGTTGCTGCTAGTTTGGTCTGGCTCACTCAGTTTTTACGCATTTTCCACTCCTGCACGCCAAAGGATCGTCACTTCGTTGATAAGCATTGTATTTTAGGGCAAACTGTGACGACAGTTATTGCGTGGATATGTCTGGCGATCATGGCGCGGTGATAGGTCAATGCTGTATACCAGCATTAACGCTTGATCCTCGCTTCGCATGACGTCACAATTACGCATCATTCCACCTGCAGGGGGCTCTCCCCGCGCTGGCGGTGGTGGTTCCCCCTTGCGACCGTGCATCGAGCTGTTTATTCACATTATTCTCTCAAGTTCGTCGCCTATCGTATCTGCTCCGTTGTGGCGCGCTAGCAGCAGTAGCTCTACCCGTGTAGGCCTTCCCTCCATCTACAGAGCTATACTTACGAGAGAGCTGGGAAACGCCAGTGAATCTTTGCTGCGTGCCGAGCTATGTTTGTAGCCCGGTACTATAGAAAAATACGCTAGCCGGAAAGATAAACGTACTGAATCTAGCCCGCCCGCTCTCAAATTAAACTCAACTCTCCGTAATTTGACCATATTTGGCCCGTTTATTGAACGCAAACGAACCAAAAATAAAAAAACATGTTGTTGCGTCTGTTCTGAATAGCAGCAGAACTAGAGAGCGGGCGCGAGTTTAGCCTGCCATTACTACTGCAAAGATTCACTGTCGTGTCCAAGAATCGTTGCCCGTAGCGGGAGCAAAGGATAGGCAGAGGGTGCAAGGAGCTACGTGGCAGGAGCATGCGTAGTTAGAAGCATAGGAGTGTATCACGTGATTGCATGCACCATCTGCATCTCTCTCTCTAGTAGCGCCCCCTATATGCAGTTACGTGGCTCGTACACTGGTTCTCTGTCCTCAGCTCCTTACTGCGCATGTCCCTGCAACCAATAGTTGAGGCAGGAGACCATGTGAGGGGAAGGAGGGAGAAGAAGAGAAAGGCAATAAGTGTTTCTGATGATGATGATGATGATGATGATGATGATGATGATGATGATGATAATGATGATGATGATGATAAAGATGACGAGGAAGACTACGATAACTGCGACGGCAATGACGATGACAGTGATGATGGTGATGATGATGATAATAATAATATAACGTTCACATATCTTACCAAGACTATCTGTAGCTGCAGAGCTATGACAGGGATGGTGATGACGATAACGATGGCAGTGATGATGATGATAATAATAATATAACGTTCACATATCTTACCAAGACTATCTGTAGCTGCAGAGCTATGACAGGGATGGTGATGACGATAACGATGGCAGTGATGATGATGATAATAATAATATAACGTTCACATATCTTACCAAGACTATCTGTAGCTGCAGAGCTGTGACAGGGATGGTGATGACGATAACGATGGCAGTGATGATGATGATGATGATGATGATGATGATGATGATGGTGTTGATG